TCATGCGTATTGATTTAAATTTTGAATTATGCTAACCTGATATCAACTTGTTACTTTCCAATTGTTAATACGATAATTGGGTACTGTTTTGTTAAATGATAATGGGTATCCAGTTTATTCAACTCGTCAAGGCACCTTTAATGTTTTTATTATTACTATTATTATCAATTATAAGAATATCTTAGAATGTAATAAGAATTTGTAAAGATTCAGTCGGAATCAAGAATCCAATAAGAATCTATCAAAATATTCTTATTTGTCAAGGATCCTAAAAGAATTTAGCAAGGACATAATAAGAATGCACAAGAAAGCAATAAGAATGTTATAAAAAACAATAAGAAGATAATAATTAGAATATAATAAGGGTGTTATAGAAATCCAATAAAAATGCTCTAAAAATACTTATCAAAATTTAATAAAAATAAGGAATAAAAAATGCAATAAGAATAACAAGATTTTAAGAATCTAGTGAGAATTTAATAAAAATCTTTAAAACTCCAATAATAGCCTTAAGAGTCCGATAAGGATTATATAATAAGGATAAGAATAAAAAAGGTAATAATATCAAGAAACATCAAGAATCTGATGAGGATCTGTCACGATGAAATGAGAATCCTATTGACATATTATAAGAATCCAGAATGCAATGAAAATCTTATAACGTTCTAATAAGTTTTGTAAGAATCTGAGATACTATAAGCATATAAAATTCTTGTAAGGATAAATTTCGAGTTCAGGTATCTTATAAAAAGTTAAGAATCGTTAAGACAATAAGTCTTATTAAAAGTCTTCTTTAATAATTCTTCTATTCTTGTAAGTCTCTGATGAGAAATTAGAGTCTAATTGGAACCTAGGAACTTTATAAAAATCTATTCAGATAAGAATAAAAGTTTCATACAAATCCAATAAAAATCTGAAAACAATCCAATAGATGATAATGAGAGTTCAACAGGCAATTGGTGAGAATCTTAGGAGGATCTGATAATAAAATCTTACATAAGTCCAATATGAATCTAACTGTAGCTGAGTGGGAACCTAACGGTTACCTTATAGGAATCTGAAGGATCTTAAAAATAAGAATCTGAAGAAGGATTCGATAGTCCTTGACGAATAGCTTTTAAAAATTTTAAAATCGAGACAACAAAACTGTATTTGATATGAGTTGCATTTTATATTTATTCTCATTTTGATTAAAAACTTAAGTTGTATTTGTACATTTAATTATTATTTTAAATTATAACTAGTTTGTTATATAGAATTATTTCAGACAAATTTGCTTAGAATCAAGTTAGATTTAAATCAGGTTCAAGTTAGAATCTAGATAACATCTATTCCGAATATACTTCAATTTGAAATATAAACCCTAAAACTCCAATACCTAAATACATCAAACAGCCCATGAATAATTTCAGTTTTCACACACCATGCGCTATTTATATTTATAGTTAAACGTTATAGGTAAGCAAATATACATTTCATAATTTATTTTGACAAATACATTAAAACCCTCAAAAAATAATTTTTTATTTATTTCCACTGCAGATTACATAATATTTGTATAAACATCAGTAATAAAACCATATTACTTCATTTACCTGTAGGCACACGAATTCCACAAATGCACGTTTGAACGTCAGTAATCGAAAAAATCGCAAAAAAATCACAAAAAAATCACAAAATATCGTTTCGATTCATTAAGCACGTAAGAGGGAAATAGAACCGAATCAGGGTGGGTTGGGAACGAACGGGGTTATAAAAATTTAAATATCGCGCGTATGTAAAAATATTATTAATTCGTATTACATAAAATATCAGGAATTGCAAAAATAGTGCAATACGACATTCTGCGGTGGTACGCGTGGTGGTGGGTACAAATTGCAATTCGCGGATTTATTGTCGATGTTGAAGATTTATCGATCGACGGAATTTATTTTGGTAATTTGATATTCATATGTCGATGGAAAAAATACTTCAATTGTTAGTTAGTGTCCCGTAGGTAAGCGGTTAAGAGCAACGAGACTTGATTCAGAGGTCCCGGGTTCGATTCACTTTGAGCAGCTGTAGTCAGGCAGCAGTGACAACGATTTTCACTTGGAAATATAGATAGCAATGAAAGTTTCCAAGTGAAAATAGCTCTTATCCGGCAATCTGCACTACTAAATAAATTCTAATAATAAAATCATCAAATATTGATGGATACAATCTAAAAATACGAAGTAAGGAGGAGTTTCAATCCAACAGTTCATAGGGCGTAAGGTTCTGATTGCTGTTAAGGCATGAGAATAATAATAAAAAATACGATATCTCTACATCATTATATTTTTTTGGGTATTTTGTACATACGGTATACAACTATGAGGATCAGCTTTCAAATCAAATATGTTAAAAATTCAGAGATGCCAAAATAAATTACTTTTGAACACCCCAAAGTATATGCCAATTTGGTTAATATGTAAAGATGCCGGCATTAACATAGTAAGCGATGAAATATAAGCGCATTCAGACAATTACAAAAGCCGCCTCGAGGATCACCCAAACTCACTCGCCAGTAAACTTCCCTGCAATACTACAAAGGCAAGATTGATAAAGAAAATCATGTTACATTATTAGCTGTCAGTTTTCAAAAATCTGACAATGGTCAGGAAATTTTATCTTTTTAAAATTCTAGTTTTATTTGTTGTTTATTAAAACAACAGGTGTCAAATCACTAAACGATAATTAAAATAAAAGTATTATTTTTATTTTTTTTATTTATTATACCAAATTTTACACACGTATCCTAAAAGGTCTAATAAGTTATATTTTAGTAATAAATGTCGTTTTTAAAAATACCAAATTATATGACCATTGGCAGTTTGGAATTGGTAGAGATTAATTTATAATGAGCTTATTTTTTAACTTGACCCTGGTAATATTCTCCCTGAGCTTTTTGGCGAGGGTGTTTGGGTGATCTTTGAAAAAGCTTTTGTATTTGTCCGAATAAATTTGGATTATGGTTTAATGTCATGTCTGCATCTCTTTAAAATTTCTTTAATTGATTCTTTCAGACATCTTTGAATTTTTAGTGCGTAATGAAACTGATCTCGTTGGTTGTAAGCATTGTTTTGTATTGATAATTTGTAAAAAAAATGTACTGATATTATTGAAGCGCATTTTGGGATATTGTTAATTATTTCATTATATGCTTATATTTCAAAAAATTACAAATATATATTTAGCAACAATGGTTTACATTTTCTTATCAAAATAAGGTCAATCATGTTTCTATTCTCATAATATACAATCCATAAATCTCATTATAAATCTAAATAGATTATTATACATTTATACAAACTAAAAACATTACAGAATGTTCTAGATATATACTCTCCAAAATATAGTTCTACTTTTAAAACTCCCAGTGATTACCTTCCAAATGGTACAATGTTTTTATACATCCATATTCCTTTCATTCGATCAGGCGCACATCACTAGTTAACAAAATATTTGTAAAAAAGCGAAAAAAACTTTTTTTTGCAATTCACAAAAATAAACACATATACCTACATATATATATATATATATATATATATAAGGGGGAGTTTCGTAGAGAGGCCCCATCAAAAAAATATATATCCATTAAAATCGGCAGAGTTTGAAATAAAATCGCGTTCGGTAGGCATTATTTGCAGAAATAAAAATGTAATGATTTCATTAAAACGGCAGCAATATACATACATACACCCGCATCGGATAAGGGTTGGAAAACATAGGCGACTTTAAGGTAATTACAGGTAAAAAATATTTTTTTGTATGAAATACATGGAATTTATTTACTTCAATTTGGAATATTCAATATATTAGATTATAATATAATTTTGACAAAAAAATATAAATAGATAGGTATAAGCGAAATTGTGTCATTAATTACTCGGTTGCAGTAGACAAAAAACTAAATATCCAATTTTTGGGACAAAATAGTTATGCAATGATACCAGTTTATTTTGATGAACAATCGCTTGGTTGGTGTCAAAAATCAATGTTTTTGCTGTTTGACAGGACGTTTTATATAATATTAACTTCTAACCTCCAAATGGCACTAATGCAAAATAATAGTGTTAGTGAAGTCAAACTGAAATAATACACTGCAGTTTGGCCATTTTGGATTTTTCATTTTGATGCATTTTTTTCATAACAATTTCTAATTGCTCATTATTTACTGATAGAAACTTAGTAATTACCGCTTTTAGAATGGCATAAACATACTCCAAAGTATTTTATCCCATGTGATTTTTGAGTTAATGTGGCCCAGGCCTAATTCTGCAGGGATATGTTTCGGTCGCCTATCATATACCAATCTCTGCGAATATCACACACAAAACTCTTTCATTGTTAATGATACATTTCAGTTCATTTTTGTGTCTGGCCTCGCTTTTTTTCTACATTTTATGCCGTATGAAATATTTTTTCGCGAAATTAAATCTGCTATAGATACCTGTTTTATTCCTATTTTTGCAATCTTTTGTCCTTTGGGCGTTGTATATTTTTAAAATTGCCATTGGTGATTTTCATTCGCATTTTTCAAATGGCGTGATCTTTTTTCATTAAATATACAATCCTGTAATATTACAGAAATGTGATGTTTTATTTGCTCCGTGCAAATATTATTTTGGGTAATTGTTGATTATTTGGTAAAGCAAACTTTGCATTAGTAAGCTTTACGTTTGCTGCACTAATATTTACAATCAAATTATGAGATTTAAATTGAAATTTTTCTGAAATATGGTTGGTAGATATTTCGTATATAATGAATACCTATATAAATTAATAATTATCTGTTAATATTTATAACGTTATTTTTTATAAATTTTTTCTAACTTTTATTATTTTTTGCATAATCATATATTTTTTAAATGCACTCAAAAAATTTATTTTTGCAATTGAATTGCAAAAAATTGACTTTATAAATATGATTTAAACATTGTTTTCAATATACTCAAATATGTTCTTTATAATTAAAGGAAAGCGACCGTTCAAGCGAAAATTCCAGCCAAAGTCCTGAGCCAGTCTCAAATGCCAACGCCATCAATTCTCTCCTTACTGGACCCACTTCCTCTATCTACCAGAGATCATCATTGCCGACACGGCAGAAATCTCCAACAACGCTGCAAGAAGAGAATAATCATTTTTCCAGTGAAAAACGTCTTAACAATAACACAAGCCCAATAATTGGTAGGAGGAGTCCTTTGAATCAGTTAAATTTAGGAGGATTGGATGCCAAGAGCCTTGGATTACCAACCAGAGATTTGGTTAATAATAATGCAAGTTTAGTTGGTCATCATCTAAATGGAACTGGTATGTAGCTTCTGCAATTTTTGGTTCAGTTTACTTTTTTACATGATTTATTAGCCTTGGTATAAACCTAAGATACTATAAACGTTTGTACTTTAGAACATTTTTCTTATTTATTTATAGTTGCAAGCATGCTCGGTTTACAAAATCTTCCACCGTTGGGAGCACCATCTCCAGTCACGAGTCAAATATCATCTCGCCTTTCATGTACTCCAGCATTAGGAGCTCCTTTGAATTTGAGTGTTGGTGGTCAACCACAAGGTAATTCTTTCGAATTTAGAACATCAATAAGTTAATATTTTAAACTAAATGTTTAGTTATAATATCATTCTAAATAAATACTATAAAATCTGTAGGGTTATTCCGAGGATTAACCAGCTCACCTTCGCCAGTGAGCATGAACGTCCAAGGAGCAGTTCCAGCCCCCATGCCTCAACTTATCTTGGCTAGTGGTCAAATGGTACAAGGAATACAGGGTGCACAACTATTAATACCCACATCACAAGGTATAATAAATAATACCGTGCGAAAAATTATATACAATTGTACATCAAATATTATTGGAACAACTAAGCGATTACATTTGCAATGAATAATGTTTTATTATAAAAATTTTCAGGTCTAGCAACTCAAACAATCCTCACTATACCAGTGTCCCATGTCAATACAAATGACCAAATGGTAAATCTAGCCCTCTCCTCCGGTCAAGTTATAACAGCTTCTTTAGCAGAACTCCAAGCAATGGCTGAATCTACCAGGCAGATGCAACAGCCTTCTTCAGATGAGCAACTTGTTCGCGTGCGACAACTTCTTGACGCTTTTCGCAAGCAGCAGCAAATCAGGGAACGAATGGATAGAGAAGTCAAAACTTCCAGGAATGATCATGTTGAAAGTATGGCGATTGATCAACATACTAAATCGACAATTGAACAACAACATGAAAAGTTGATGGAGCAACAAATGGAACAGCATCAACAGAAGATGCTGATTGAGCAGCATCAACAAAAATTGATGATAGAACAACATCAGCAAAAGCTTATGATGGAGCAGCATCAACAGAAGTTGATGGAACAAAGATTGTTGGAAGCAGGTGAAAGAGAAAGGAGTAGAAGTGAAAAGACTGTTCGGCAGCATATGAGCATGGCGTCTCACAGGTGATAAAAAATAATGTATAAATTATATACGCAACATATTAGTGAGGAGAAGAATTTCGTAAATCATGTTCCACATTTGCTTATAATAGCTGAATATCAATTTCAGGTTTCCTCCAATGTCTTCTGAAAATGTTCAAAACGGTCTCTCTACATCTAATACAACATTATCGCCTACAATACCACGGCTAAATGGAGAATTAACAATAACACCAGCAAACACCAATAATAGCTCATCCCTTGTCAGTTCATTAGGTAGCACAGGCATGAATTCTAGTGGAATAGGTAAATGACAAAACTCAACTTCTTAAGTGAAAAATTTAATGGTTTTCTAACAATATTACTACAAATAACATATGTTTTTTTATAGGCTCGAACTTGTCAGCAAATTTATTAGGTGGACTACCAAGCATTCTTCAACAATCACAAGACCACCTCATGAGTTTGAAAAGGTCGCCAATGTCCACGCACAGCGAGCAGGACGATGAAAATGATCTCTTGATGGAAGATTGTGGAAGTAAGCAAAATATGCATTTTAGATAGAAAAATAATTTTTGTAGCATATTTTTAACGTCTACCATTTAGAGTAGAAAAAGAAGTGTGCAGATCACAATTTCATTTTTAATACTGATACTTAATACTAATACCATTATAGTCATTTTTAATAACATATATGTTTGTTCCATTAAAATTAACTTTCTAGACGAATTTAATTTTCCCAAACAAATCGATTTTCTAAATTTGCTTTTTGAAAATGTTACTTATTGTGTAGCCGGTCAATTTAGGCCTAGAGGGTGAATGTTACAATAATAATAATTTCAATTTCACGGGTCGATTGTGATTTTGTCTGTTTCAAAACTGTTGCAAAATTATCCTGAATATCCTTTTTCTCTTTTCTTGGTCCTTTAACTTTACCTGTTTTTTTATCTTTATCTGGTACTTTACCTTTACCTAGTGCTTTATCTTTACTCGGTCCTTTATCTTTACTTGGTCCTTTATATATTTAACAGGTACTTTACCTTTAAATTACCTATACCTGGTTTTTAATTTTACCTGATCTTTTTTCTTTACCAGATCCTTTACCTTTACCTGTTTCTTGACCCACACTTGGTCGTTTACCTTTATCTGGTCCTTTACCTTTATCTATTCCCTGACACACACCTGGTCCTTTACTTTTACCTATTTATTTCACCTGTTCCTTTACCTATATCTGGTTCTTAATTTTACCTGGTCCTTTACCTTTACCTGTTTCTTTACTTATACCTGGTTCTTTTCCTTCACCAGGTCATTTACCTTTTCTTTGTCCTTTCATTTACCTTTACGTGATCCCTCCTATATCTTTACCTGGTCCTTTTATTTATCTTTATCTGTTCCTTTCCTTCACTTTACCTGTTCCTTATTTCATCTTTTCCTGGTCCTTACTTCACCTTCCCCTGGTCTTTCTTCACATTCCCCTGGTCCTTTCTTCACATTCCCCTGGTCCTTTCTTCACCTTTCCCTGGTCCTTTTCTTTACCTTCCCCTGGTCCTTTTCTTTACCTTCCCCTGGTCCTTTTCTTGATTTTTTCCTTCATCTTTACCGGGTTGTTTACCTGTACCTGGTCCTTACCTTTACCTGGTCCTTTACCTTTGATAGGACCAGTGGTCTTTATTTGGCTTTTTTTAATGTCCAATCCAGAAACTATATTAAATATTACTATTTACCACAGATCAACCAACAATAAACCAAACAAACTGCAACACTGTGGATGGAATAAATCTAGATGAGATAAAAGAATTTGCTAAAGCCTTCAAATTAAGAAGGCTCTCTTTAGGTTTAACGCAAACCCAAGTCGGCCAAGCCCTTTCGGTCACAGAAGGCCCGGCTTATAGTCAGAGCGCCATTTGCAGGTATGTCTCTTTTGTAAATAGATAATTTTAATAAGCAATATTCTTGTGATGTTAATTTTGTGGAATTGTTTGCAGAATATTATAATACATACATATTAAAAATATAATTAGAGCTTGTTCAGCTCGATTTGATGAAGTACTACCATTCATTTAACTTTTATTTTCGATAAGGGCACAAATTTTAGCCATTGTTTTAAAATAATATTAGCTTCAACATCATTACTAAAATATCACAACTCATATTTTCCTAACGTATGGTTTCTACAGCTCATAATAATGAATATATCATTTTGTATCATATTGTTTGTCTAATTTGTCTTTTAATATTTTAATATAATTTGATCATCTAGTTTCAAAAATGAACAAGTTTTGGAATTTAAAATTAAAATCATTTTGTTGCGTTTGCAGTGCCCTGGCCGCACAGATGTTTGCGCTGCTCAACTATCGACACAACATCAAAATATGTAAATATCAATTCAAAATAATTTATCTATATATTCATATACATTTCTATACACATGAAATCTTTAAAAAATATATTAATAAAACTATATAGTTGTAAATTAAAAGTGCCCGATTAATACATTGATTTTCACAAATAGTAACAATTTTGTAGTAAAAGGGTTATAAAAAGAAAGTCTCTGTTAAGTCTTCTTTATATACTTGAAAGAGTTTGTTTGCACAATTATGACTATATAGTTTTATATTTATTTTTTGTAAGCATTTCTTTAATTTTTTCTTCATTTCTAAAAATACTCATTATTTGTGTGTGGCCAGGGCATTGGCATCTAAAATGATTATGAATGATCATGTCTTAAAAACTAACTTATCACCTAAAATGTGTCTTTTGCTTTCCAATAGAAGCCTCAAATATGTCAATGTCCTGAGCTAAGCGCAAATCATTTAATTTATGTTATATTTTAATACTAAATATATAATATTAATCCTATAATTAATTTATTTGTATTTAAAAAAAAAGTATGTCACATCCAATAAGCACAGCAACTCGATTTAGAAGTCTCCAACAATAAAATTTTAAAGTTATTTTATTTCAACGCCCTTTGGCTTCTAATTTTGCAGCTACAATTTTTATAACTATTCTTAAATTTATTTCTATCAATTTTGAATGCATTGTAAACAATGGATGTTCTAAACTGTTCTATTAAAGTAACCAATTCAATTAGTTTTTTTTTGGAAAGCATGTACTATGAAATTTTGCATGATTATTTATCTATTTTATTGTTTGACATATTTCATTGAGTTTATTTATAGCATTTAAATTTGTGTTATGCAGGTTTGAAAAACTGGACATTACACCGAAAAGCGCCCAAAAAATTAAACCTGTTCTTGAGCGATGGATGAAAGAAGCTGAAGAAAGGTACTTGGATTTTTCAATTAATATGAAGTTTTACTTCATTAGATAATGATTGTCTAAACTTAAAGGATAACATCATAAAATTTTTGTTAATTTTTTTTTTGGGGTGGAAAGAAAAGAAATAAGGGAGTCTCCATTATTCACGTGAGGTTTTTAAGAGATGGGAAGGGTGGTTTTTTACCAAGTCCGTTACCTTTACCTGTTCCTTGGCCTATATCTGGTTCTTTACCTTTACCTGGTCGTTTCCATTAGTTCACTTAGTCTTTTCTACCTTTACCTGCTCCTTTCCTTTACCTTCACATATTTCTTTCCTTTACCATTACCTGGCCCTTTCCTTACCTTTACCTGGTCCTTTACCTTTTGTGGTCCTTTACCATTACCTGGTCCTCTACCTTTTGTGGTCCTTTACCATTACCTATTTCTTTACATTTACCTGTTCCTTTGCTTTTACCTTTACCGTTACATAGTCCTTTACCTTTACCTAGGCAAATTTTACAAAACATCGCAAAATATCACATGGGGGGAGGGGTATAATAAGATATCACGTGTATTTAATTTTTGCCCGAATATTTTTCAAAAATGTACAATTTTTCTCGTAACTAAAATAAACATGATGTTTGGTGGGGGATGGGGGTAATTTTGAATATCACCACGAATCACCAGGGGGGTCCAAAAATCTTTAATAAATCGATCACGTGATTAATGGATGCTTCCTAAAACTTTGATATTTGTTTTTGGACTCTAGGGTATGAATTTCATGAGATTTTTGAAAGGCCCTAAAGCGGCAAACAGTAGTTATCTATCCAGCAGCAAATTATATTATATTAATTTAAATATTGTAAATTTATGGCAAATGTTTTATGTTCATGTATTACGGATGCATATGTCACGTTGTCTAGGTACAAAAGTGGACAGAACCATTTGACCGACTTCATAGGCGTGGAGCCATCCAAGAAACGAAAAAGGAGGACATCATTTACGCCTCAGGCTTTGGAGTTACTAAATGCCCATTTTGAGAGAAATACACATCCTTCAGGTAAGATAGTTTTTTACTCCAATTTATTCTAAAAATACTTCTTCCTTCGAATAATTATACAACTAGTCATAATGCATCGGGTTGGTACTAACATATTTGTAACTACTAATGGCCAGACGAGTCTACCATTTGAAAGGAATTATTTTCCATTATTAACCAGAAGGAGAAGTTTGAGAGAATATTCAGTAGCTTTTTATTGGTGGCGGACCCTATGTTTTCCAGAATTCTGTTTTCATTCCTTGGTCAACATTTTGTAAGCCACTTTCATTTAGTTTAATTAAATTTATAATTTTAATCGATTATCAATTATCCTCAGGTACTGAAATAACAGGGTTGGCCCATCAGTTGGGCTACGAGCGCGAGGTCATCCGCATCTGGTTCTGCAATAGCGCCAAGCATTGAAGAACACAGTGCGCATGATGTCCAAGAGCATGTGTAATGTAAAAATTTACATTAGCTGTTCGTGATAAACACTAAAAGTTATATTAAAATTAATTATGGAAACGAAGACATTGACTTGACTTTATCTATTCAGTTACACGAAGAAAATCATCACAAGACACAAAGTGCGCAGTGTATGAATTGCTTCGAATATGATAATCAATATGCACTGTGAAATTGATTTAGTGATCAAACTATTTTGTTTAAAAACTTAACATTTAATTGATTATCATAGAATCAATTATATGTAATAGCTATCAAATAGGTAAGTTTGCACAGTGACCGAACTGGAAATTAATCTAGCTAATAAACTTATTTGTTATGATAAGTAACAAAATTATGAAACAAAAGAGGTACACTAATTAAAAAGTGTAAATTATTTAATCTTTTAGTTTGAATTAATAAGCGATTGCTTTAAGATATCGCAAGCTATATGTTAGGAATGGAGATTTTGTCTTTCAAATGGCCATATGAATAGAACGATCCAGTGATAACAGTTTACATAATTATAGATTTATGAAATTAATCTCAAAGAATATGAAAATAGATAGATATCTGGTATTTGGTACATTTGTTTTAATTAAAATTTAAAACAAAATTATGGACCGATTCTGCCGCATAACAGACCAACGTTGTGGCAAGGCTACCTATGAAGAAACTTTTTATACTAAATATTGACAAAAGCCGTGTGGTTGCTGTGCAGTCAGGCAGGTTTTTCTCAGTTGTCAGATAGAAAATCTAACCTAGAAACCGCAAAATGTCAAAAAACGATGTTAGATAACAGGGTCTTTCTGACCCAGCTTCGTCGAAAACACGATGTGAGATACAGGGGGTTTTCTACCCAGCTTTATAACGTACGAGTACATTGCATTTTATATGTAAAACGCCTGAATGCACAGCAAATACATGACATTTTGACAGTATTTAATATAATTCTGTAGCATAATGTATGCAAGTTGAGCACACAACATGGCCTCGCCATAACATTGGTCTGTTATGAGGCAGAATCGGCCCATAACAATTAAAAGTTGTTTAAAATACCTAAGAGAATTATATAATAGTTGTGCATGGTCTTACTCTCAAGAGAGTTTGCACACAATTTTTTAATAATGCAATATTTTCATGGTCATTTTATTATAATCATAGATAATTGATTCTATTGTAGATTTTTATTTATGCGTTGATCAAAGTTCACAGCCCTATTGTGATAATTAATTGAATATTTGAATAATTTTAATTTATTACTTCCTGCATCATTATTATATTTCTTAAAAGGCCTATTTGTTATCAAACTGTGGATTTGATAAGCCAAAATAAAATATGGCGTATGTATACGTTTAGCATGTATCGCATTATACACGAGTATACTAAAATAACTTTGCTATTAAACTTTAGAGTTAGATAGGCCTCAATAAAAATATATAAAATATTCATGAAATTATTGTTGTATACCTCTATATATTACCAGAAACTTGGTTTAAAAAACGTATATATAGACCAATAAACCCGTGTGAGTGTTTTTGTAATGTATATAAATTATTAAGATATAGAAATCAAATATATTTAGTGATGTATTTATAATCATGATGACAAAATCAACATGCAATCAATTCGGACTTATATAGACAAAAAAAGATATTTTTGGCAATGTATCCAAATTTGTACATTTCGAAGTTAGGGACAAATGAAATTAAAATTTATTAAAGTGAAAATAATTGTATAAAGTAATTGTATCGCCAAACATTATTTGCGTTAATTTATTAATCATCTCGTGTACTAATGGTCTTTATTCCATAATAGTTGTGCGAAGGCCAAAATTATTTTAATGCTTAAAATTGCCATGTGTATGTATAGTTGCCATTGCGGAATGGTAACCTATAACAAATACTTATTTAATTATTGGATTATTTTAGTTGAGTATTAAATATATAATTTAATATTTCATAGAAGCATGTGCTAGGTTTAGAAATAATGTTTACCAAAAAAGAAACTGACATAATTACTAACAGAATCCTTTATAATATTTTTGTATTTATTTAAAACAAGGCATCCATATTTTGATCAAGGAAAAAGAAACTAGTTTTTGCATACATGGACTTATTGATACAGCTCATATACACTAGTGTTCTGCCGTTTTGTATTTTATTATCTAAAATACTTTACTTTCTTAATGTTTTAATAAATTAATGATGATTTTTATAGCATTTACGATGATTCATGTCATTAAATGCATCATCATCACAATGCATCCGAAAGAATCATGGGAATGCAATACTGTGTGTACCGAAATACCGGTATAATGGTATACCAAAATCTGTATAACGTTTACCAAAATACTGGTATACCGCTCGAATTTTCGGCGGCATTAATACCGTTATTTACCTAAAAAATACCGTTTTTTTGGAACAAATTTATTTTCACTTCCATTTAAAGTTTTTTGGTCTACTCATACAATTGATTTGTAAAAAGTACTCCATATACTAGATATTAATGATGATTGATTGAATTGGATATAATTTTGATAAATTATTATTAAAGTAATGAACATATTGTTTTTCCATTGTTTAGTTTACATATTTGTGGTTGTATACAACATTCAGTAATTTTGATAGTTTATTGTGGTTGTATATATAATTTTTTATATTTGACAAATAATTTTCAATTTTGTTTACATTTGTTCAAGATAATAAAAATACCGGTATCACCGGTTTTAAAATAGAAACTACCGAAATACCGGTATTAAATTTTTTT